AAGCAAAGACAAAAATAGTTTATTATTAGACATTATTCTTTGGAAGCAAAAAAAAAACTCCCCCATGAATTGTTGGGGGAAGTTATTGATTTCCTGCCACAGTGTGAAATGTTTGACCTTTATAATGTGAGCAGTGATTACTGGGCCAATAAATGACATCATTCTATTTAAACTCTCAGGGTGAAGAGAAAAAAAACCCAATCAGCCATACAATTTAAGTATTTGCCAATTTCTAAAATATATTTCAGCCGACCTCCGGTGATACATAAAATTGTACCGATGCACATTTTGACAGACACTTTGTATTAGTTATAGTAGTTCAGGTGTAGTATCCCATGCACTTCCTGAAAGTGTTAGGCTAAACTAATTCCTTTCTCTTGTATTGGTTTTGCAATTTATATCCCCCTTTTTGCCCTAAATTTGACAGTGAACAACCCAATCTACTCCTCTCCATAGCAGTTCTTAATTCCTAATGCAGCTGTCCCTTCTTTAAATGTGGTTGTTCTCAGCAACTGCAGCCTTTGATTGTTTCAGCAGTGTTTTCCTGCTGCAGCCTCAGACAACCACGGAGAGTAACCATCTTCAAAGGTGATACAGCTGTAACCCTAACCCTAGTCCCTTGCCTACCAGCATTTGTTGCCAAACTGGAATTGTTAATTTGGCAGAATGAGAACATCATTAAATAACATGGGGAGCCATTATATTAACTGTATTTAATTTGTGGAGTCCTTGGTGTTTTTGTTTTCCTCCCTGGCTTACGATTTTATACAATTTTATCCTGCCTTGGCCGCTTCCTACTCTGGGCAGCGTGGGTCTTGGCATGCTCCTCAAGGGCAGACTTCAGCCTGAAATGTATTGTACGTTCTTGTTTTATATGGATAGAAGCCCTCTTAAACAATAAGAAATGTCACCTCTATTCCTACCACAGGCTGGTGTGCGATAAGTATGTGAGAGAGAACATATTTGAGCAAAAGCTGGCTTAATTGCTCCAAAAACTGTAGCTAGGAAGAGCAGGTAATGTTTTGAATGTTAGGAAAAACATAGTCTTACACCCAGCGTGTTAACTAGTGAAAAAGATTCCATGGATTGCTACACATTATGTGCACTAGAGTGGAGTTAGGGCATAGTTGGAATCTCCTACAACAGTTAAATGCAATACTGATCTTGCAAACTTGTATGTTCACCTCAGTGCACCTGAAGAGGGGATTCGGAGCTTCCTGGGCCATCCAGCAAGGTCTCACGCCTATCTGAGGTAGTTGGGGGCCCGATAAAGTCCTGCACTTCAATGCCCCCATTGTATTTACTTCACCATCGTTTTTACTTTCAGGATAGGTCCTTCCATTAAGCAGAGTGAGGCAGCTCCTTGGGCAGTGGGCAGCAGAGGGGAACCCTTATGAGTTCTTTTGCCTTTGTTTCCAAAGTGATGTGAGTAGCCTTGGGAAAGCTGGGATCTTGCCTCGGCCTGGGAGAGGAAGCATCAGTTGATGCCAACTAATCAGTCCCTGCTTCTTGCTGTTTACCAAATGGCTTTTAGTGGAATTGGGAGATGCTGTTTATCCAGTCGTAGAAGTTAATCTGCTCATTCAAATTCTTGGATGTGTTGATGTCCTTTTGCTTATCTCATAGGAGCCATGATAGAAATCTATCTACCTTCTTGTTTAACTTTGTTCAAGGCTGTCCATCTTCATGGAAGCCATATTTGCTCTCTGTGTGTTTGCTTTTTTAATGTATTTGTTTTAATGTAATTTGTTTTGTTGATTGGGTCAAGCCCTTTCTTGTCATTCAGATCCAAGCAGTATCCCATGATCTGTGTGCCACACAGCAGCTCAGTTACCTCATCTTGCCAATATCAAGCTGTCACCAGAAGAAGAAAAGGATATAATTTTCTTTTCCATTTCTGGCAAGTCATGTAAGATCAATAATCTCTGCTGGGTATTATGCTCTCCATGAGAAGCGTTTGTGATTGATTAAACACCTTAGCTTTGTTTTGGTGCTTAATCAATTGGAACAGCCATTTATTGCTTGGTATATTATGAAGAGAAGAGATCATCGCGGAATTATTCCAAAGAGAAATAACAAGGTGGAGTTGTCTCAAATATTGGTTTAAAAAAAAAAATTCTAATAGTGGTTAAAGCTATTAACAGGTTTCTGGATGCATTTATCTCCCTGTCGTCTCCAGGGAGAACCGAGTATGGTTAATCACTTGCAGAACTACATTAATACACTGGACATATATAAATGTTGACATCTTGTGGCAAGAGCATGAATAGAGATACCCTCACCCAAATTCATGTTCTATCTTGCACTTTCTATGGCTTTTGCAAATAGTGAGTTTTTCCCTTCTATGATTTCCCTGTTAAGCAAGTGGAAAAAATGCTGCCTTGTTAACAGATTTAACTACTAGCTGTTGTACTTGTTGCTATTTTCATCAACATAGACTCAGTGGATGATGGAATGAGCAAGTACACACTCTCCAATTACTACATGGTACTAGTGAGAAAAAGGCACATAGGGAGATGAACGAGACTGTCCTGCAAACTGAAGCAACAAGGTAATTGAGTAATTTAAGCCAGTTGTGAACTATGTGCAGTGCCCAGGTATAGAATTCTCTATTTTATTTTCTGCAACCCCTATAGAACCAACAGTATTTCATAGGAAAATGTGCAAGTTTTTACCCAGGCAGAATGCAACCGTATTTGTAAAGATGCCAAAACTACTGAGTGTATTTTGACACTACATTCTCAAACTGATATAATGAAGCTTTTACTAGAGTCAGAGCAGAGTTGCCTTAAACAGGAATTATAGGAATGTGTAATCTTTGGAGGACTGAGAGCTGCCCATAAATTTGTATGGCATACTAAAAGTGGTGCTCCAAAAAATAGGCAGGGCCAGGAAAAAAGTTAATAAATTTAGTGTAATTAAAAATTTAAGTTTGGATAATATGATAATTTACTCTGTATTTAATGCTTTTCCTTTCCTGATTTGTTAAAAACTAAAATGTGGTAGCAACATTTGGCAGGGGTGCATCCAAGGCTTTGGGGGAAGCCACCCTATAGCTTTAGCCTGTGCACCTCTGGCCTAAAGAGAAACCCTTTCTACTCTGTGGCTAGAATGATATAAATACTGTATGCTTATCATTCGGTTCATAAAGTATGACATAGCTCTCCAAGCAAAATGTATATAAAGTTTACTTTCAAAGACTTTTTGTGTTTGCTAAGCTTTATCAAACAAGTGACATGAATTCGTTTATACGACTAGCTTTCTACAGGGTCAGTGGCATAATAAAACAGCTGTACCTGAGTCTTCCTCAATCTGGCACTGTCCAGATGAGCTGGACATCCATAATTCTCGTTGGTCAGGATGGCTTTATAGGAGCTGAAATCCAACATATCTGGAGGGTGCCAAGGTGGGAAGACTGCCATACACTTAGTCAAAAAAATGTCAGTAACAGAGTGGAAAGGTTGTGTGTGAACATGCATGTGTATATGCTGATAGGAGTTGTATGTGTACTTTTGGGTACAAATAATGTAATTCTTGTTTCAATCAAGAGAGGCAGAGGCAAAAGGGCTGGGAGTTGAAACTGGGAAAGGAGATGTTTGTGATAGAGGATTCCGATTTCCGTAGGCTTTATTATCTTGTCCTGTCTGAGGAGGCAAGCTGGTAGAGATTGCTTGGCAAGATAGACCTCAACATTGGAGGCGCTTGTTAAGTTGTTAAGTACCACATTTCCTTTTAAAGCTGCCTGAGGCCACTGATTGGTTTCGAAGTTTGCCAGGACGCTTGAGATATAAATGTTGGTGTTAATTCCGACACAGGTTTCAATGGCAGAGTAACCGGACTTGTACCCACATTAAAAGCAATTAAGGCTTCTGTGAGAAGGTGCTGATGGCTCTAACGATTTAAAAGGCATTTGCTTTCCTATGCTAACAGACTTTCCTCCCCTTTTCTTGATATTACCAAATGCTTTTTGTTTTATTTTGTCTTTCAGGTATAACCCAACTTTAGCACTTTGCAGCTATATCCATGTGCCAGCCGTTAGGAACTGGGCCCTTCCCCCAGCACCCCCCCCACCCTCCCCGTGTATCTATTTTTTGTCTGATAAGTTCACAAGCACTAATGCACACTTCAAATGCAGGCGCTATTTTGATCACCCAATTGTTTAGCACTTTACGCAGGAAAAGCGGTAGGCCACAGTCATGAGACTCCGAGAGGATGGCTGCTGGCTTGCTGTGGCAGAGCTGGTCGTTGTTCCACCCCCGTCCCTCCTTTGCTCTAACCATTTTGTCTGTCTATCTCGTCTTGTATTTAGTTTTCAAAGCAATACCATGAGGGGTCTCCTTCCTTCCTCTATTTTTTTTTTTAAGCGCCTTAAAGGGAACAATATATTTTTAGGGTCCACAAATGTGTCAATACAAAACGTACAGATTATGTTCAAATTGTCTGCAGCCTTGAGAATACAAAGCTAAGAATTGTTAAGCTCCATTTTGCTATTACTTTTTATTTGGAGATTTAATTCCATGTATTTTATGAAGGATGAAGTTCCTGGGAACAAAAAGAGATAAGGTGTTCATTTACAAAGCGGGGTTTATTTTTCTCCTGCTTGGTTTTGTGATTCAGTGATGAAGAGATGCAAACTGCAAACATAAAAATGTATTGCTTCCCTTTGAAAGTTAATCCTATTCCATATTTTCATTAATGTTGGCTGATTTTGTTCTTAATTTCTGTTCATTTTGTTGGTTTGCCATTTTTTTTGCATGAATATGCAGAGTAGCAATAAACTGATTTTTTTGAGTGTGCAGATTTTTCTCTTTCAGATCCAGTAATAAAATCTTTTTAAGTTCATCTGTTCTTTAAGATACAGTATTTTTTTTTATTCTTAAACAAAAACAAGAAGAGTCTCTGTCAGTGAATTTATAATATGATTTTCTAGGCCTCAGTAAGTGACAACCATTGGGGGAAAGGTAATGTCCTGTAAGAATTTCGTTGTCTGCCATTGCTAGGTCACCCCGGGACAGTAACAGAAGCAGCGAGAAGCTGGAGTTGGAATTATCAAATCTCACAGCGGATGTCCTGGAACTGCTGCTGGAATTTGTTTATACAGGTTCCTTAGTAATAGATTCTGCCAACGCCAAGACTCTTCTTGAGGCTGCCAGCAAATTCCAGTTTCATACATTCTGCAAAGTCTGTGTCTCTTTTCTAGGTAAGTATTGATGTGGTTTCCCTCTGTCCTGCTTTTCAGCTCCTCTGGGAATTCTACCCTCTGTAGCTATCAAATGGGCATAGGGTCCCAGAACTGGCCTTAGACATGGCTTCAAATGGAACAGAGAAGGAATTGTTCATATGTTTGGCTGATTTTTTTATCTTAATTCAGAATAGCTCTGAAATTAAAACCACTCTGAAATCTGGATTTCTCATCCCACCCGCCTGAACTTTTGGTGACACTATTACAAGCAAAATAGAATCCGACACCTTGCTGTTATGCAGCCCTAAGGTTTCGTCAAAGGCTCTCCATTTTGTGGGCTTCAATACTACAAGATAATGTCTCAGGTTCTAGAAAATCCATGCAATGTAATCATTTTCCATCCCTTCCCCACCAACGTCATTATAACAACCCCGGATGCAGAAAGACTCATCTGGAGGGCTCACGAGGTGAGCATTCTGGGTTCACTAATGTCCAAATGGGGCTCAAGGCATTGGTTTGGTCCAAATTTTGTTCATATCATTTAAAGACGGATATCCCGTAGCATTTGCCGCCCTAGTGCAGATTTAATAACTGTGTTCCAACATGTTTTAATAGATTTTATAGCTTTTATAATAGCCCACAAATATATCTGTGCACATTATCTCTAAAGATTCAGCTATTATAACACAATATATTTATTTCCACTAAATCAATGTGAAGCTTTCCTTTTCCAATACTTAATATTTGAATTCAGTGAACTGTGTTATGGTTATGCAGTTGGGAGACTTGGCTGTAAGTTTCATTATATATGAGGAACTAAAGGCTGGCATTCTCATTTGGAGGATTCATAAAATATAATTGCTTGTTTTGATTTATAGCCCTTGCTGGATTGAGTTGCAAAGACAGGTAGTAGAGTATTTGCTCTATGAAAAGTTTAGAGAAAAGCATTTTAGCTGGACTCATTTTTCATTTTATCATAAGCATTGTATCACTTTAAAGCACTATTTCCAGTGTGCTTCTGAGAGCCACCAATGGAAAAACTAGTTAGTTCTTCTCACTGTGTCACAGAGACAAATTGGCTCAGGGATTAATTTTCTTTTTGAATTTGTATTCAACTGGCCTCTCCTCTTCCATTCCCCCCTAGATGGCTTTAAGTAACCTAAACATTGAAGAGAATATTCTCTCTTCCTTGCTATCTTGTGGGTGATTTTTAATGTGTTTTTTATTATTATTTCGGAAATAAAACAAATACATAGGGGGAAATGTAATAATATGATTTCTAAATAGAGCACTTTCCCATGAAAACTTGCAATATTAGTACAGCTGAAGACAGCACCTCGAGGTTTGGCCTGGATGAGAAAGAACATGATCTGAAGAGGAATCGTGGCACGCAGCAGAATTTATAATTGTACTGTCCTCATTGGTGATGAAGGAAAAAGAATTATTAAATTATATTGCTTGCCTGTGGACTAGCACAGCTGCAATTCCCTCTGCTTGTCAGCCATTCAGACTGAGAAATCTTAAGTTTGAGCATCATGCTAAGCCATGTTTTTTTATCAAGATGTGCTAATAAAACACAGTTGGCTGCATTTGCATGATGCAATATGTCATAAACCGTGCTTAACAAATCATTAGAGCTGGATTAATTCATGATGTTAAGCCATGTCCAAATTCTGATTTAGCACTATGAGTGAACCTCCCTTTATCTTGCACATCTTTGGGTTAGTAAAGACATGGTTTTTCAGACATTCTAACCATGGTTAACAGACTGCCACTGAGTGATGAAGTCTCAGCCTATCAACATGTATAAAAATTTCTTCCACCTGTCTGAACATGATGAAGCATTATATTGGCACTAACGTTAGCTGCTGTGAAGACTAAAGCAGTTCTGTTTCAAATGACTTCCTAATTTTAAATCCTGGGTGATGGGATGTTCTTAAAAGCTACTTCTTGACTATCATTAATCAGAGTTAACTGTGCTGATATAAAGCATAATCACTAGTAAGCAGACAGGTTAAAGAATCAGAAAAACAAACTAAGGAGAAGATTTTATATTGTTCTAAAGCCAGTGCTTAAAAAATTGGAAGCTCTACCTGATCCTTTGATAGTTAGAAAGAATTGATCAAGAGAACTGAGTCTAATTATTGTAAGAGTGATACAGATTTCAAAATAATTTCTTTAACACTTAAAAAATTATTAGCAAACATGAAGGCTAGCAAGTTACTTTTTAAATATTATGCCTGAATTTCCATCCCAAAAATCTTTGCCAGTGCTATGTACAGGAAAAAGCACTTTATAAATGGAACTTATTTTGCTGGTATGACAGCATGAACATTAGAAGCGAATGGCAAGCAGAGGCCAGCTCAAAACCTCAAAGTCACCAATGCCCTGATACATTATACAAAAACACAATTGCTCATTTATTCAGATTTTGTTGCTGTGGTCAACTGGACCCATATATCTTATCATATCCTTAGACAACTTTGCCAATTGTTTTCCCTTTTAGAAAGGGCCAAACTTTCTGGAGAAGATAGTTACAACCATCTGTCACTTAACCCCCTCGGGTACACTTGGTTAGTCTCCTACCAAAAAGTGCCAAGGGCAAATTCTACCTTCAATTATGGGAAGACCTAACTCAGCTGCATGATTGGTGAATTCTAATTGACCCAGGGAAATACATAAAGATAGGTCCTTGTTGTAAAAATAGATATCTGTGATTTTCCATGACAAATCTGCCTTTCTCATAAGAGATTTTTTTCCCAAACAGGATAATTTTTTTCCCCCAGTAAAAGATAGGTCTTTAGCATGATGAGTATAGGATTCAGATTCAGATTGTTTTCTCTTCCCTTTGGAGTATCTTTACTTTCAGATTTTTTTCCTCTGAGATGACACTCTTAAGGTTCCTGGAGGAAGGTATACCCTGAAATCTTTTTCTGAGGATTTACTATTATTTATGCAATTAACTCCAAGAATTGTTTAATCCCAAATCCTTGAGTTTTAATTGTGAAACAAATGAAAAGTCACAGCTGCAGTGTGGGGTGGGTAGGTGGAGGAAGTAGTAGTCTCTACTGTGCCAACTTCTCTGATTTCTGGTACTATCATAGTAATAAATGTTTAAGAATTGTTCTTTAAAAAAATGAAATTAAGATTTTCAAGAAGTTGAATTCTGTATCTTGTGCTAGCTTCTGTACCGCTCAGTGCCTTCATGGAACTGCTACATCTACACAGCCCTTAACATCACCCCTACTCCTAGCTGTTTACGACCCCTCTCAATAACCTTAATATTTAAGACATGCTTGGCTCATTTTGTATTTATATTACTTTATTACCCTTATTATGCACATTTGATAGAGCCTGTGGTTATCTTAATGTGCTTTCAATACTTGAGGCAAAATCCTTCATCTCCAATTCCCCTTTGAGATTTCTGATGGCCATATATGACAATCAAAACCAAGAAATGACAGACAGGCTATGTCTACAATGAGTGAAAGACATCGTCACGGTACACACTTGTGAGCTGTGGCATGTAGTAATATTGGTCAAGAAAATGGAAGGCCTGAATTTTTTCCTTCTTTTTTCCCCTCCTATACCTTTTGTTTCTTATGTTCTTTTTAGAAAAACAGTTGACTGCTAGCAATTGCTTAGGAATATTAGCCATGGCTGAAGCAATGCAATGCAGCGAACTATATAACATGGCGAAGGCCTACGCCCTGCAGATTTTCCCAGAGGTGGCAAATCAAGAGGAGATTCTTAATATCTCAAAGGATGATGTCATTTCCTATATGTCGAATGACAGCCTAAACACAAAAACGGAAGAATTGGTTTATGAAACGGTGATAAAGTGGATTAAAAAAGATCCCTCTGTCAGAGCACAGGTAAGGATATAGAGGGGTTTCTGAGACTCTTGTCTTTCTTTTATTTCTCAATAAAGCACTTTTAAATCAAATGCTAGTTGGTGCCTTTTCAAATCTACCCCCAGCTAAAAGGATGCAGGTGAGATTAAAGAAAAGTACAAAAAATAAGCAAAAAGTGATTCAATTTCACCATCTGATTGCTGGGTCTGATTAAAAGGCTCACATTTGTTGCAAGTATCACATAAAAAATAGCATGGGCCAAGATAGTCCTTGAAGGATTAGTATTGGGTGAGGTACAGCTCCCAAAATGGAATGCAGGGTTTTTTAAAAAGCAAGTGATGCCTGTTCAGCAAAGAAAAAAAAAAAAACACCGAGATTCATCAGTAAAGTACTGAGCATTGCATGCTGATAACATAACTGGCTTATAAACATGGTATACTGAGAGAAGCTACGCTATATCTGTGCTGGCTGTGCAGATGTCAGTAAATATTTATTGGGGCAACCTTCTCCGGATAGTTACTCTGCTATGCAGTTGACCTTAACTGAGATAAAAACTCAGATAAAGGGTTATAAATTATACCCTGGTTCTGAGAGCACTAATAGTAAAATGGTGTCCTTGGGCTAGAAGAATTACGAGAGCAGCACGTAAATTTGCCAGTTGTCTTAGCTGATTAAGATTTATAGTGAACTAACTTCACTCATTATCGATCTAAGGTATAAGAATTGACTCAGTGATCAAGAAGTCTCCTCATTTGCGTCTCCTATCAGTTCAGCTCAATGAAATTGTGACTGAGGTGATATTCTTATTGTGTCTGACATTTATAGGATGCCTCTGTGGCATGTTCCATGTACATAACCGGTTTGTATTCCCTGTGGTTTTGTAGCATTTCATCAGGGCAACATTATGCTTTTTAGAATTTAGCCTATATTAACACTTAGAAGATCTACGATGAAATAGAATCATAGAATTTTGGAATTACAATGAAACTAAGCAAATATCTTATTCTCTAGCTTCACCTTATAGGTTACAATGTTCAATCATTCTTATTTCACTCACATGAACAATTTGTCATTCCGTTTTAAATACATTTTATAGGACAGTTTCAGAATTAAATGCCTATTTAACATGCACAAGGCTATTTTAGGATATCAGAAGCACACCTTCTTCTTACAGAGTGAGCTTGCAATAAAAGTCAGCCCTCCCGATGGGGCTTAGTTTCTGCTTATCTCTTTCAGAAGTACAGCAATACAAATATTGTAAGTTAAGCTCTCAGATGAGGAAAGGAAGTTGATTCATTTTGTATGCTAATTTAATAGAGTCCAGAATAGTAGGGAATCTAGAATAACTATGAAATTATTCCAAAGATATTGTGGGATATTTATACGCTTGGATTTATCTCAGTGTTAAATAAGATTTAACTGAGGAGAGGGTGGGGAGTAAGAAATTATCTGTGTTTTGTTTTCTGAACTATCATACAAGTTTTGCCCAATATCTCTTAACCTTCTTTTTACTCCAGAATTTGATAAAATGGTGCCTATACTGTAGACACTATGTATCGATTGCAACCAAAACTGGTGTTTATAGCCTCCCAAACTTTCTTAGAATGGAAATCAGCAAAATCTTATGAAATGGAGGCTAATTAAAATAAATATTAGTTAGCCACACCCAGAAGACTAACAAGATCATCCCATCATTCAAAATGTTCTGGGCCCTAGAATAATGTGGGCAGTACATGGGAAGTATTCTTCAACTCACTGGCAAGCTGAAATGGGGCTGACACATTTCAGAGGCTCTTGTGCTGCTGAAAGAACACGGAAAGACATTAAATTACACTAAATGCAAGGGGCAGCATGTCAGAAAGCTGGGCAAAAATGGAAACAGGGTGGACCTAGAATGAAGAGTGGCCTGCACGAGGCAAGACTTCAGCACATGGTTAGTCCTGCAGTTTTACTAAGCTATAGGGCTTGTTGACTGTCAACAATATTCACAGAAAGGGCCCCGTGCTACTGAACTACTAGTGTTCTTCTGCCTCAGTAGTAATATGAAATAAAACTCAACCTTCTGTACTTCTGTCTCCTTCTGCATGGCCCAGAGAAGTTTAGTTCTTGCTTTCGTTTCCACTAAACAACTGATACTAAATCTCAGCTTTATTAACCACCTTAAAAACACATAGTTTGAAGGTGGTTTGTATAAAAGAAAGCAGGACTTGCTGTAACCTAAGACTCTTGCTTTACATGCTGTAATAAGCTGAGGAATTGAATGTAAAATGCTGTCAAAGCTGTATTTCTGGCTCTGAGGAAAGAATATATCAGCAGAAGAGGAAGTTTATAACCTGGGATGAAGTTTTTGTTCATCCTTGGATTCCATTAACTATTGCTTGCTGCTGCTTGTCGACAAGAAATCATGGTTTGTAACTTGATTGGTTTATTTATTTTGCTCAGTGGACCATTCAGTAGTGGCATCAGTAGCATTCTTCTGAATCGAAGCCTTCTTTTGGGATAGCAGGACACTGAGGCCAAAAGCTATGGCTCAGAAAAGGTGATTCTTTGGGGACCGCTGCTTTCTTTCGCTTCGGTTAAAATTCGTACACTTAAGTTGTAAGAGGTGGTTTCATTTTTTCCCTTTGCCATTGCTTTTCCTGCTCTCCCTTTCATGCTATTGAGACATTTTTTTTAACCCTGGCCTGTGTTTTCTTCTCATCATCCTTCTCCAAAAGTGCCTTCTCAGTCTATTATGGTATTCTTGTTTTTCCCAAGAGTTTCTCATTATTTTAATTTTTTGTGTATGTTTCTGTGGATATGTTTTGCAGTTAAATTATCATTCAAATATTGGTAACTAGTTGCTTTCATGTGGTATAGATAAATCAGCTTTCAAGATGACTGCTATAACTTGTTTTCTCTCTCATGTCTCTCTATCCTATATTATAGGCTTTCTAGTCACATAGATGCTATTTTCTAACATAGAAGTTGTTCTTTCTTAGAATGCTTCCATGAAAATCCTGCCTTTAAAATTTCATAATGGCATCTTTAGGTTCTGGAACTCAGGAGAAAATTACACTGGGGTGGTATATAAAGTCAACCTCAATAGCCTTGAAAATGTGCACGTGTTAAAAATAGCTGTAGATGTATAGATGACACTTCCTATGGGCAGGGAATATAATGTAAGATTTTACACTGACTAGACACTAAGTCCTATAAAAAGAAATTGAAGGAGCTGGCTATATTTAGCTTTGGTGGGCTAAAAGATAGTGGGGTGGTTGTATGACAATCTTCTTGAAATACTTGAAGGATGTCAAACAGAAGATTAAAACTTCTTCCTTATTATCACAGAGTGCAGGACACAGAATAACAGATTAAGTTACTGGAGAGCAGATTCCAATTCAGTGTTTTGGGGGCAGGGGAGAGAAACCTTCCTGACTGTAGGAGCAGTTGACAATGGGACCAATTTCCCAGGGAGGTGATGGGCTCATTTTCACTAGAAATGTGCAAGCAGTGGCTAGACAACCACCTGTCAAAATCCATTAATTTGGATTTTGGCATTCAGCAAGGGATTAGATTCAGTGGTCAGAACAGCCCTTTCAAATGGGATTGACACCAAAATTACCCCTGAAAATGGCTAAGAATAACCCACATGTAAAATAACACATTTTTAATTAAAATATTAAAAATCATCATGTAAAAATAATCAGATACAAGCATATCAGTAGTACTAGCATGTGCCAGCTTAAGTGATTTCCACAAAGTCACCTCAATTCCCAAAGTTTGTCTGAACAACCATTCATTTGCCTCCTGATAAGAGGACAACAGAAATAATGCTCATCTGATCTCCTTTTGCAGGGAATTTCAGAGCCTGCAAGCAACCTCTGAGGAGATGCTGTCTGATTGTCATTGTGTACCCCCCATAATGATCTGACACAGACTAGGATACCCTCACCCAGAGATCCTAAAACCTGAGCAGATTCAGATGAGAAAATAGCTTGGCCCTCAGATATACAGAAGCTTATGTGTCAGAAGTAGAACTTTGAATTGTGTACAAAAACTGTACAGGCTGGGTCTGTAACAAGGGGTCACATGCCCCCTATGGCCCTGGCCAGGTTTTTTTGTTTGTTTGTTTTTGTTTGTTAGTTTGTTTTGTTTTTTGGCTGCAACATGCTGAAGTTTCTAAATATTTTTCAAAGGCAAGCTGATTATTAACACATTAAAATAGTCCAAACACATAACTAATGCATACATCATTATGAACAAATCCGATGTCTCTAGGATTGTACACAGTTGGCCCACTAACCTTAGCTGTGCAAATGTTCATTTATTTATTTCAGTACTTACATTCTGCCAAATTCAACCAATCGTAGGTTATTATGTCCAAGGAATACCCACAGAGTTTAAAGGATGTGTTTCTATCCCGCTAAGGTTTGGTTTCTAGTCTCAGTTTGCCTTTGAGAATCCTAAAGAACCTTGAGTTTTGTCTGGATTAAGCTTCATTTTGTTTACCCTCATTCAGTCTATTGACAACATCAGGCAATAATTTAGAACTTGAATAGTTTCCTTAGTTTTAGATGTGGAAAGAGACAGAGTTGGGTGTCATCAGCAGAGTTGATGATGTTGCTCCTCAAAAACAGCAGCCACCCTCTCCCAGCAGTTTAAGTATTATATTGAGTAGGGGTGGAGATAAGCTGGAACCCTTACGGATGCTCTAGGACAGTGTTTCCAACTGGCTGCTGCTATTAGGAATCTGTTCCTTAAAGCTGCAGCACCTTTTTTTTAGATTTACTAAGAAGTCCGAAGAATCACAGAGAGGTGCTATGGTCCTGTGAGGCCGGATTGACTTCAACTGAATCATTCTCAAAGCCTGCAGAACCCTACTGCTGAGTTCTTTATGCATTAGATCAGTATGGGGTCAGGTTTCCCAAAAGCTTTAGGCCGATGTCTTTCAGACTGTTCAGTGTTCATATGGGAGAGACCTGGGGATTCTTCAATGAAGTCAGTATGAGACGGCAAGCTGTCTGGAATGGCAACTTATC